AAGCCTTCCCGCGGGCGGGGGCGCGCGGTAACGCGGTGTGCTCGGTCCCGGCGGGAAGTTCTGTGGCGATCCCTCGGCTTCCCAGGAAGCCTAACGGTCCGCCGCGCGCAGCAACGCTGCGGGGGAGGGAAGCAATCGCGGGCGAACGGAAGAGGAGAAGAACGGAGATGAAATGGTCCATACTGTCACACGTGCTCTGTAGGCGAAAAGTCCCGGAAGGCACATGTTTCGGAAAAACGATACAGAAATTGTGAAACCTCCAATACAAGAAAATGGCAACGCAATAAAGTAATTTTCTTATGTTGTAGACGTGTCTTAATGCATCGTCTTGCTGGTTTGTATTTGCACACTGTCTCAATACAGTGCTGTGTATCTGCCACATCCTGCTCCATGAGAGGCCCTAGATAAAATAATATGAATAAAGGTAATAGCTCTGTAAGCCTATTTCAGAGTTTTTGGCCATGTGTGGCCAGACCTACACAGCTAACTCATAACTGACCCAAACTCTGTGGTCAGCCTCCTAAAGATGCTGTAATAGTGATCATTCATAGATTTATGTGCAATAATTTACTAGTCTTAAAATATTTTATTCATCGTTCATGCAAGAACCTGAAATAGAAAGTTATGTACAAATAAAAAGATTGTTGTTGCAGTTTTCCAGGACTAAAACTGGCCTAACATTAGGAAAATAACATGAACGCTGGGGAGGCAGGGTGACAAAAGCATATTCCTAATTTTAGGCCACACAGTAGTCTAGTATGGCTATATCTAATCAGCAGTCCTTGTACATATTAGAAGGGTCAGTAAAGCAATTAGTAAGATAGAAATAAATCTTTATAGAATACAGTCTGAAAAACACTTGGCACTTACAGGAAAGTCTGCACCATCAGGAAGTACCTTCAGATTGCAGGTACGGTGCTCCACAGCCTGCCTTAGTGTGACCCAGAGGTGCTATCTGAGCTGGGCAGGACTCCATACTGGCGAGGGTGTTCACCATCAGCGCATTCCTAGTTCAAGCATCACAGCGGCTATTTGCAATTATTCTCTATAGGACCAGGGATGGAATATGGGTCTTCATTTCCGCATCTTGGAAGATTGCTGGTGTACCATCAAGCAATTTTTGGCACAAGATCAGAGTTTAACATAAAATACGTATTTGCAAACTTCTTTATTGATGGTTTTGTATATATCCAGCGTAAGTAGATACAACCTCTAAAGGCAGAAAAATCCATACTATGCAGGGACTTTCAGAAACTAAATATTCCAATAACTAGTTTAGTACCTGAGAATAATGTAGCAATACTTGCCCAAAGAGATACCAGAATTAGAAATAATATATTAATGAAAGCTCAATGGAAGAGCTATAAGGATGATGTACTAGCCTTCTCCACTGACTTACTAATGTATGACGTATTAAGATTAAAAGCTATACTGGAGTAACTCATTTATTAATATGCAGTAAAAATATACTTCTCTCATAGTCACACAGCACCCAGAATATAGTTGCAATAATCAAAAGATTTTGTGGTAACTAGAACAGTAGCTCCTTCTTCTGTAGCTGGTAATGGAAATGAAGTTTCACAGCCAGTCTGAGGTTTTACCAAGCCACAGTCACTGCAAGTGCATTCTTCCACTGAATACATTAATGTTTCACTTTGGAGCGGGTGTCTAATTCCTTCTGTATTCACACTGCTTTCACTATTAGCCTTAAGAATATTATTCAGCTCCACAGAAGAGTCTGTAAATATACATAAGTTAATTTAGTACATACGTCATGCTATACCAGACATCCAGTTATTAAAGATTAAAATTTCATTATGTTCCAACTATGTTCCTAACCTTAATGAAAGTTTTAAGATACAGTGAAACTTTTAAGATGTAGTTATATATGATAATCTTTTGTTCTATGACAATATACCCCCTATACCTCAGGATAAGCATTTAAGTAATCTAACACATATTTTCTAATCAGTTATTACTTATTGGCTGAACATTCCACAAATAGTAGTATTCATAAAATGTAAAAATAACTTTTTTTTACCTTCCCAAAATAAACCACATATACTTCTCACAGGGTAGAATATTAAGTAAAATTATTTAGTGTCTGATAGATTAAAAGCTAGTATTGAAGGTGTATCCTCTACCAGGGTAGAATTCCTTTTGCATTCAGTGAGAAGAGAGTGAAACCCTTATAAAGATGTTTTGCTATTGAGGGTTCATAAATGATTTCTCAAACACCAGCAAGTAAGCCAGGTATGAATATGCAACAAAACAATCCTGACAGGATCCAGAACCAACAGAGAGAGATTGCTGCTTTTACAAGTTATCATCTGGATATTTTACTCCCTAATAATTTCATTGAGACTACCTGAGGAATTCAAAAAACAATCTAACAAAGACAGTTATCAAAATCTGGAATATAAATTATATGCAAAATTTATACATGGTAAGAGTAGCTAAAATGTACAGTGATCTAAAATTATTTTATAAAGAATCATATTTATTCACCTGTGTTTTTCAGTTTTTCTTTTAGTTGCTTTAGGTGCTTCCATTTAAACAAGACCATTAAGATGAACAGAGTGAGCATTAAAATTAATCCTAAACCCAAACAAATCCAAAGAACTCCACTTGAATCAGTACCTTATGAAATGAAAGAGATATATTAATTGTAAACGACTAGTGAACAGTAAAAATGTCCAACACATAAAACTACTTCTATATCAAAGGACCAATTTCTATTTCTATTGAGTGACAGCTCAAGTAAAGCTCAAGAGCTTTAAAAAGTTACTCTTCTTAACACACATACAGGACACACTGCATGTGTCTCTAACATTTTTGAGCCCATATATTATTCTGATAATCTCTTTCCAGGTGTTAGATTTCTTTAAGTTTTTATGTTTACAATTCTTTGTAAAATATAACATGAAAATGCCCAGCATAGCCACAAAGTATTGCAGAAATATTACTTACTCTTATCACAGTAGTTTTCACATGAAGGCGGTGGTGTACTAGAGCATCGAAGATGACAAGGCTTACAAGAGAGCAGCAAATTATCAAAGTATTCATTTTTGGGGCAGTGTGCCATCATGGTAGGTAATTATGGAACTGGAAAGCCACGGAAATTCTAAGAGTGAGGATCATCTACAAAGGGCTTTTCAGTTCTCAGTTTTAGCAAATCTAAGAGCAGCTAGCAATAATAGTTAGACTTCGATCACAGCTCCACTACATAGCGTCATGCTAAATAAAAAGGATTTAACTCTGGGGCCCCCAAGGAAGTACTGTTCCTGTTTTGGCAATTCACTATCGTAGAAAAATTGAACAGCTGCACCAAGATAATATTCAATGTAAATTTTGTCTGAAACAGAAAATGGTTATTTATAGAACACATCTCTTGAACAGGTGCTAAACACTACAAACTAGAAAAACAAGAAGATCTCCAAATAGGAGTTCATCATGTCTTTAGAATTTTGTGGGTTTTTTCACGGTGATGGCCTGCAGTAGTTATGTTTTCCTGTAATATGCAAACTATGCAATGCTTACTTTTTGTTCCAGTCCAAGGAGCATAAAATGAAAACAAGAGAGGCAGAAGGCATAGCAGTAAGAAGATACAACCAATCCAGTTTCTACGTTTGCCACTGACTCATTCTGCAACTTCAGACGACTTCCTTCATGCCTGTTTCCCTGGATGGACAATGATATTTAGAACACATAGATGAAGAAATAACTACTTTTTGTAAATTAATAATTTTCTGATTTTTAAATGAGATACTGTTAAAGTACAAGTTCAACAATTACTGTATAATTGTGTTGTGCAAAATACATCCAAGACCTTCAGTTATAACGGAAGGACAAAATCTAGGGATTCAGTCACTAGGTATTGTTCCTCGATTCCAAATTACCCTCATTTATCTAGTCTATTAGGTTTTGCTTGGCTTTTTTCCTTGATTAATTTTTGGCATTTTAGCTGGGTTTTTTGCTTATAACCATAGTTCTATGAGAAATTTAATAAGATTACATTCTAATTGTGAAAGAAGAGCTATGTGAATATTTTAACTATTTTGATTCAAAACATTATCTCCATTTTTCCCTTATTTTTCCACAACGCAGAACTGTCACTGTACTAAAATGGCAGTACGCAGAATGGCAAAATAGGTGGGCCATAGATTTCATTCTCGTGGTAGTATTTGTACGACGACAACTTCCCAGCCAGGTCATGGGACACAATGAGCATGGATAGATTTGTCTGTGTATATGCAGTGAGTGTAACATTTCTGAAAATGTGTTTGGTCTCCTCCAGGGAAAAAAAGCTTTGATAACAGACTGTCACAATGAAAATAATTTACGCAGCTTAGTTGTATTCTGACTTTTTAATCTAATATAATTTCTTTTAAATACAAAGTCAAACAAAAACAAAATATCCAGCAAGTTGCAATAACTGCTTTTATCCAGTATCACTGCCACAGAGAGATTAGAATTACAGGCTTATTTATAGTTAAATTTCTCCTTGACATAATTAAGTTATTTGCCTTTTTGATTACAGAAAGGGAAAAGAAAAATATTGTCCAAGGAACTGTAATTTCATACCACATCACTATGTATGAGACCTACTTTCCCACGGAATGCACCATGTGGGAATACACAAACTGCTTTTAGTGGAATAGTCTAACAAAGCAGTAGTATTCCAGTCTCCAGCAGATGGAACTGCTTATTGTGGCTTCTGCACTTGTTTCTATAGGCCAGGTGCAGAAAGGTAGGCTTTCTATTACGGGCTTTTGTCACAATTCAAGATTAGTGGATAAACAGGAATTGACAAAATCTGATTTAGGTGTGACGAAAGAAAATATGGATACAGACTGTGGGTGGTGCCAAAAATGTCACTAGGAGGTCAATGCTGGTGCTGAAGTCATAAAACTGGTTCTGACTTGCTTCATGCACATTCACACTCTAGGGGAAGAAACCTGTTATCACTAGAATATCATTCCTATTTCTGATGAAGCACCATTTGGTAGCTTATGCATAGAGTCATTTGAGTTTTTGCTCTTAACATGCTGTTTAACCTTTTCAATCGTGGAGAGGACAATGACATTCTCAACTGTGATCTGAAGAAGGCAGATATTCATGAAAGTATCTTCATGGTATCCACAGGTACGGTAAGTGAATTTCAGGACAGATAAGCTGGGTCCAATGCTTTAATCTTTTATCAATATAATTCCATTTACTTCAGTGAAATGCTCTCCAATTTTACTTAAATTTACAGTTTTTTTGCCTCATTTTTTAATGTATTATAACGACACGTTTTATTTTCACTTTTGACTGAATTGTATATTTGTTTCAAACACTAGCTTTCTTCAACAAAGTAGTTTTGCTAAGTAGGTAGGTTTAGAGCATTTTGGTATTAATTCACAGCTTCACAAAGAAGAGGAGGTAGGTCAGATTGACAGTAGTGAGTATTTTTGCTGGGAGACAGCAAAATGCTGTTGTTAAATAGCATGTTGAAATCCCCAGTAGGCAACACAGATAATACTAAGCTTGAACAATGATAATTGATAAACTCCTTAAGGTTTGGTGTTGCTACCACGAAGAAAGAAACCTTGAAATGCTTGCTAGCGATAGGTTCTGTTCTGAGGTTCAAAAGGAAGTCTAAAATCAAACTTCAGGCTTCTGTGCTCTACTAAAGCAAAGTACATCATTGATAATTTACAGGTAAGATACATTCCAAAAGATACTATTATGCAACAGATGTGATGAATCTTTTCTAGAAAACCAGATGGCTCTCAAACCACCGCTCAAGAATTTTTCAAACAGCTGTCTTAAATAACTCACATCAGTCTAAGGCAGCCCAGACTGGTCTGAATCTGTTTAGGATGGCCTGATGAAACAAAGAGTTATAAGATCATGATGTGGACCTGTATTTTCCTTTCTGAATCATAGTATCTTTCTGGATGATCTGGGGGGAAAAAACGGGGAATACCATTTCAGTGAGGTGTAAGATACACATTCTATTTCTAAGTTTGAAACTCATGTGATTACATCAACATTGCTTTTCTCAAGCAGATTAAGCAGCTAACATTTGTGGAAAAGTAACTGAAGTCTTGATGTGTTCAATAAAAAGAACCCATAGCTGCTGCTCTTACTGAGGGTGTCACTGGCAATACAAAGCAGTTCAGAGGGGCAGTGGAAGCAAGTAGACGATGATAATTATGTCCTCCAGGAAATGCACATTCTTCCCCTTTCCATAACATTCTGCACATGTTTTGACAGAGCAACACTGACAGTAGTTTGGAAGAAATTGCATAGACCAGATAATAATTTTTATTTTTAAGTAAACAGAGATTCTCAAAGCATACTGTAAACTCAGTGCTGTTATGTGGATCATTTTTAAGATGACCTATTGATGCTACCCAAGTAGCTTCACCTTGAGGCAGAGTTTCTTCCCAGTAGATGTAACGCAAATATAGGACTTCTGGGAAAAATATTAGAGAGGAGTGTAAGACTTGACATTACTTTGTGAGACAATTAACAATGCAAGAAACTACAGTATATAATTACTACTGTAGGTAGTATTATTAGAATCTTCACAACTACTTTACTTTTTGCTATTAAATTCTTTCCTAGTCCAGAAGTAGCGTATCTGTTTCTACTTACTGGCAATGGCTTTTCTTGTGTACGCAAAATATGTCTCTCTCCAAAACAGCATGCTGTCATTGCACTTTAATAGATCTGCTGTATAATATGCCGAAGTGTTAATATTGTGATTCCTAAAACATTTTGTCACTCAAATATAATGAGATACATTGTAAATCAGACTATTTTGGCACAAAGACGATTCATGTCCAATTAGTAAGACTGGTCTGTAGGTCACCAAAGATGTGGTTAGATTCTGTACAGCTAAGCTGATTAAATGTCTTTGTGTTAGTGAAAGGGATAGTCCTGCTCTTCACTCTACAGTATTCTGAAGCACAAGGAAGGGCTCTAGAGCTTACCTTGGAGCACACGGCAAGCAGCTTTAATTTGTTAATCCAGTCAGTTCATAGAGTTTCACTCCCTAGGGCCTGGAAAAAAGGCCAGAAACAGAATAGAAAAAAACATAAACAGCTGATTACATACGTCCACCATGGAAGTACAACTTTGGCAAACTAATGCGCCAATGCCTTCATTTGAAGTCCTGTCAAACTCTAAGTGCAGTAGAAATTATTTTGTATCTAATTATTTCATATTGCGTATATGGGATCATAAGATATTGTGGCAGATATGCTTACACTCTCTATAACCAGTTGGCCAGAAACAGTTTTCCTATGTGGCTAGGGTTCAAACACATTTACATAAGACACAGAAATAAATACAAAGAAGTCTCATCTTTTCAATCAAACTCTAGGAAGCCTCCCCACAAGTAAAAGGCTAAATACAGCTCATTTCATCAGAGCTCTGGAGAATACTGCTGTCTCTTATAGCGATAATTTTCCTCCTATTGTTGGACTAGTATTTCTGAAAGCTTACAGCCTCTAGGGATATATGAACTTTTTTGATAGATATGCCCCAAAACACAAATCCTTGACTATTAAGCAATACATTTTTCACACATAGGAAATTGAGGAGCAATGATAGTAAAGGGTCTCTAATGTGTCATTTATATAAACAACCACCATATAAGTCAGACTTTCTCCTTAGCTATATATAGTTTTATTGATGTATGTCATGAAAAAACAGAGGTGACAAATGGTAGAAAAACTGAGGAATTACAGTTGTCATGGCCTGTTGCCTTTGTTTTCTGCACATCCTGGCGTTCAAAAGTCCTACTTCTCAATTGTCTGAAAGCAAGCATATAATCAGAAGATCTTGATAAGCAATAATTCCCAGTAACAGACCTTTCTAAACACCTAACACACACATTATTTCAAAATCTATGTCCTGTGGTTCATCTGCTGTTTTCACTGACTACATGAGATTCCTCAGAACTTCTGAAGACAAGTATCTATAGAGCAGTTTTGAAATTGCATTTTGGGGGACCATTTCTTATCTGACTGTGCTTCTAAAAAGCATACTACATACTATTTATTCTCAAAGCAGAAATTAATCCAATGTAAC